CAGCTTGTAAGTGACAGTAAAAATTTTGGATCGAACACTTTTTTACCAAGGCAGGTGGGAGATAAGCTAGGTGGTGGAGCTCTGAGTCCCTTGGCTAGTGGGGAAACTGAGTCCCTCGGGGACCAGGGGGAGTTTCCCAGGCTTCTGGCCTTAGTCAAAGAGATTGCTGGGGGCAGAACCCATGTGTCCCAGTCCTAACCACCAGACCACACGGCTTCTCCATGGCTTAAGCTGGGAAGGTCCAAAGAGAAACTCCCTTTCCTGCCCCAGCCTGGAGTGTAGACTCTTCCCCAGCTAGCAGGCTGCCCCTGCGGAGGCCGGGCTGGGCCAGGGTACGGTGGGGGATGCTGGGGGGTTTCTGCCCACACATATGGTTTCCAGATTCCAGGGGATGAAAAGGAGGCCCTGAGGGGCGGAAATGGGGGATGTGTGATGACAAATTTAGACTGATTACTTAAAAAAAAAAAAAAAGCCGAGAAACCTTAAAAAATAAAAGCAAAAATTCCGCTAGAAAACCAAAGGGAATTGTTTGATTGTGAAACTGAGTGTCGTGAGGCATCGAGGGCTCTTCGGACTCCGACTCCTGGCTTAGAGGATGGCAGGAGGGAGCAGGCTCTGCCTGCTGTTCCTGGTTTACCTGCTGGGCTTTGGGACAAGGATGAAGTCAGGCAGCGCACCTGGGAGGATGTCTGGAAATTCAGGAGCACTTGTTGGGGGGCTTTCCTGTAAGGCTTGCATCCTTCACACAGCTAGACTCCAAGGGTCCCCATTAGCCCACATAGGGAGCTGCCCCAGGGGAGGCTCCAGCTGGTCTATCCCCAAGAACATGTGAAAGGATGAGCTGTAAGGTGGGGGTTTGGGGTGTCTCTGAGTCTCAGCCCTAAAGGGAAATGACCAGGAACAGAAGGTAAAAGAGAGGACAGCTGCTTGGAATTCTGGCCTGTAGCAGGCCTGAGGGGTCAAAGGTCAAAGGGGGACTTCCTGAGGCTCCCAGGGGAGTGCCAGCTATCCAGTCAGCCAGGCTATTGTGCAAGCTCTGGCTGGACCATGAGGGCAGGCTGGCAGAGGGACCATGCCTGGCTCGGCCTCCTCAGCTCATCCTGTCCGCCCCCTGGGGCTGGAGCAGTGCCCTCTCTCCTCAAGGACCCGAACCCGAACCCGTCCCCCAAGGTAGTAGCACTCCTGTCCCACCTAAGTGGCCATATCCTGTCTGCCTGAGGGCTTCCTCTCATCCTCATCCTCAGCCTCTCTTCCCCACAATCACCACCTTTTGAGAACCAGAAAAACCTTTTCACCGAAGCCTTTTTCAATTCCAGCCTGATTCCCAAAGGGATCAGAGGAGTTTCCGAGGGAAGAACCATGAGAGGGCTTACGGGATGCCAGCCCTAGAGGAATGAGGCACAGAGTAAAGCAGAAGAGAAAGCAAGCCAAGGAATCCTCAGGTGCCAGGCCCTGGGCTGACTGGGCAGATGATGTGCTTCGCTGCTCGTGTCTGAGCTTCCCCTGAGCCTCTCAGGGTCTGTGATAGTTACTCACATCTAACAGGTGGAGACACTGAGGTTCCAAGGGCGTGATTAAACTGACTGCTGGTAGACGGCAGAGCAGAGACCTGCACTTGCTCTTCCAGATCACCTCCCTGTCCCTCAGCACAACCCACTTTGATGAGGAATGACCACAATGAAGGGCCTGGGACAGTGTTTGGCTCCCGTGGGTAGAAGACCACTGCTGACTGACGCTCAGTCTCCTGGAGAAGGGACAGGATCCTGGGTGGAGCCTAGTGCCGCCACCAGTTTCTCCCGAGAGTCAGCACCTGTCAAATCAGAACGTGGGATTGGCAGCTCAGTGATTTTCAAGCTGGATTCTTGGGCATCCTGGCATCCCCTAGAGATTGAGATGGGGGAGGAAAGGACAGTGAATAGGGGCGTGCCCCTCCCCCGAGCCTGGCTTCCACCAAGGAAGCTTAGGAATTTCAGGTATTGGACATACATGCAAGTTTTTACCGAAACAAAGATCCCACATCAGCCCATAGCCTTTATCTGAGGCCTCTGCAGCTCTGACATTCTGGGAGCCGTGATCTAGGTAGTTCAGGTCCTGGGTTGGCAAGAGGAGCCAGAGGATTTGGTGAGGGAAATGGGCTCTAGACCATGGCTGGGCTTCTAGCCCTGTGAGAGGAAGCGGGTCGAGATCAGAGCTGTGAGATGAGGCTACGGCAGAGGAGGCAAGCTGCAGAGATACCGGGCACCTGCCTTTACACCTGGGAAAAACAAACAGACCTTTGGCCATGGCGGGCAGCCTGGGAACCATGAGCAGTACCCCCTTCCTGGGGCCAGACCATTGCCCCTTTCCCTTTTTCTGTAAGGCCTGCCTGGGCTTATTCTCTGTGGATATTGGTTGCTTATCACCAACCTAGGGCCGCCCTAGCCTCCCATGGCCTCATGGTCCCTGACTGCCCGGTTCAAGGCGAACGCTAAGAGGCAAAGCTGCTCTGAAAGAGAAAGCACCAAATCAGAGGACATTCAGCGAGCAGGGGCTAATAATCCCATTGAAAGAACAACCCTTCTTGATGCCCCTTTAATTGGCCATCCTAGACCAAAGTCTGCCCTTCTACCTCAGTTTTCCCTGTTTTGAAATCTGGGCATAAGAATGGTTTCCCTCTCCTGGTGGCTTCAGCGCCCCCTGAATATAATCATCTCCATGTTCCAGGTGGAGAGAGCGGACGGCTCCAGCTGCCCAAGAACAGATCTAGCATCCTGCGTCTATCCCACTGCCCACCCCGGGCCTGCCCCTGACCACCATTCACCCTCAACCTGCTGCAGCCTCACTCCACATAAGCAAAGCTGCCAGCAGGGTCCTTTGTGGTGCTGCTCCCTTGTGGCACTGCCTAGGGGCCCCACCATGGGGCAACAGATGGACCTATGGTCTCTACAGAACAATGGTGGGGGAGGGGCCCTGGCATCGCCCTCCCCAAACAGGAAGCGCTGCATGAGCTTCAAAGAACTGGCAGGGCTGAGGGGCTGGAGCCAGTGCCAGGACTGGCGGCTGCCTAAAGAGATGCCTGCCAGCTTGGGATGCCCAGCCTGTAGTGGGGGTGGGGCTGCAGTGGCAAGGGCAGCTGGGTCTTGGGCAGAGGATGCCTTGCAGGTGACCCGGGAGGGAGCAGGCTGAGGGAAGGGGGCTCAGACACTAGGCTGTTTCCCGGCTGCCCTGCCACTCGCCAGCGGGGCTGCAGGTTCTTTCCCAGGCCACAGTGGGTCTGGCCCTCCAGCAAGTAACCATGAGGGGCAGGGCTGGCACCAAGCCTGCCGCCCACTCCCTGCCTCCTGCTCCCAGCTGCTCTGCTCAGAGCCTTTTCCTCTCCACTTCCTGTTCACACAGGGGGGGGCGGGAAGTGGAGGGAGGAAGTTGGGGGGAGGCGTGTAGGGGGGCCCATTGAATAAAAGGAATTAACCGTTTCCCTCCTCTGACCTCTGGGAATTTCCGCCTGTGAAAGTGTCTCGAAGAATCTGCAGAGCTGGGGGAGTGGGGAGGAGGTGTACCCCTCATGCCCCCACCCACCCAGTGCGGCCAGATAACTCCCTCTGGGCCCCCTAACCTTTTGTTTCCCTGGCGCCAGGGGGGCAGCGCCCAGGGCAGTCTGGAGACTGGTGGCCTTGTAGCCCCCAATGGGATTGGTGCCTGCTGGCCTGTGATCCAAGCCCTGGGGGGCAGGAACTCTGAGAACTGGTGGTCCCTGGGGAATGAGCTCACACCAGGCTGCCCAGACTCTGAGCCCTGAGCCGTCCCTGCCAGTGCTGGTGCCCTGGCCAGCCTGCCTTGGGGACAAGAGAAGGGAGGGTCCCTGGCCAGGCGGGTAAGCCAGGCCGGACTCTGGGCTGGCACACCCTCCGATGGCCACTCCCCCAGGAGCTGTGGAAGGGAGCGGTGGGCTGGGGAAGCCAGTAGACAGCGTCCCCTAGCGTCCTCTGCCAACTCAAGCGGGCGGCTCCCCAGGGCCCTCTCAAGGGCGGGCCTCAGGAAGCACCTGCTCCCCAGGACCAGTGGCCGCCCTGCATCTCCCCCAGGTGGCTTCCTTGTTTACAGGCCGCCTGCCCTGATCCCAGCGTCACTGCCTCTGGCCACTCCTTCTATTTCCAGTGACCGCTCCAGGAGCAGCTCATTCATCTTGGCCGCCGCCCACACAGCTCCCCCACTTCCCTTTCTCTGGCCCTCCCCCAGGCTTAGGGCCAAGGCCCTAAGGGCCTTCTCTCTCCCCTTCATTCCAGGCCTTGCTTGGTTTCCAAGGATCTAAGAGCTGTGGCTTCCCGTTGCCCTGACTCAACGGAACCCCTATCTATCAGTGCCAGGGAAACCTGGGGCCTTTTTCCAGGAATGAGGAAGCGGCCTAGGACCAGATGGGCAGGCTTAGAGAGGACAGAAGGGGCAGGGGCGCCCCAGGCTGTCTTAGCCAAGTTCTCTGGGAGGAGGGAGCAATGAGGCAGTGTTTGTTTAACTAACATATTAGGCACCCATTATGTGCAAAGACAGAAGCCCCAAGCTGTTCTAAGTAAGTAAGGGACCAGGCCAGTGGCAGGCCAAGGTTTATACTTAATATGCATTGACAGGGGGTACAATACCCCTGAGTCCTCTACTGAGTCTAGGTGTGAGGAGAGCCTTAGGCCACATGGGGAGAGAGAGTAGGAGCCTTCCAAATCTTCCTGGAATGGTGGAAAGAACAGGATTCTGATGTCCTCTACTTACCCAACGAGACCCCCCCCCACACACACACACATATTTACTCCCACTCTTGCTTCTGGGGGAACACAGGGACTCTGAGGCTCATCAAAGAGGCAGCTTCCAGCCCTGTAAGTTGGCAGAGGCCCTGCTGTTGTTCTAGTGGTTGGGGAACTCAGCTGGGCAAGATTCCACCGGGACTGCAGGAGATAAGTCTTGGAAGAGGATTTGGCCGCAGGGGACAAAGAAAAGACTGCAGACACCAGCCAGGTGCCTTGACCCCAGCCTGATTCCAGGAACACTCACTTGTTATTTTATTTCAATCTGGCAGCTAACAGACCACACCCATAGAGCCGGGCAGTGGACTGTGGACACCAGCGTTAGGAGCAAAGGGTGTTCAGCTGATGTCACAGGAAGGCCCCGCTCTAAGAATCCTTAGTTGTGGCTTAGCTACCAGCCACAACTAAAGAAGTGTAACCTGGGGGGAGGGGCAGGTTACAGGAGCTAGACAGAAAAAAACCTATCTGCCAAATGCCATGAATGGTGGCCATGGCACTCTCACCTCCATGCTGGACCTCAACACTAGGGTCAAATGCCAGACAGTGATAGGGCAGTATCAAAGATGGGCAGCACCTGGGCACTCAGGGATCCCAGCTGGTAGAGAGGGGCAAGTAGAATCTAGCATTTGTAAGGACTAATGGAGGGAGGTGGGAGGAGGAGCTTAGATTCACGGTTAGGTAACGGAGACACCCCGAAAATGCTTGGGACAACTGGGGAAGGAACAGAATGAGGAAGCAGCAGTGGAGACAGTGAGAAATCGGCACCTCCAACAGCCTGCATACAAAGGATTCTGTGGGGAGCAGCACCACCTGCTGGCAAAAGGGAAGAACAGCCCCTGTTCCGAACAGGATGATGGGTGGTAATTTCCAACAGAAGCCAATAATCAGAGAGGACAGAGTGAAGGGACAGGCAAAATCACCCTGTCACACTCCCAGGTGAAGATACAAGTGCCAAGGCTTGAAAGCATACAGGACCCAGGTTGCCTCCCTGTGTCCCCCCTCTCCCCTGCCCCTCCTGGGCCCGCACCACTCAGCCCAGCATCACCACAAGCCTCCAGCTCAAGCCACTAGTGCAATGCAGACAGTTTAATGTTCTCCACCCCATCACCAGCTCCCACTGTCCTCCATGAGGCCTCTGCCCAGGGCACCCTCACAGCGGAACACCAAACAGTGTGCACAAGACCACACCCACCATCAGCACTACCTTTCCCAGCCCCATGCCCAGGACTTGGAGGGGTTGTCTTTTCACTTCTGGGACCTGGGGGCAGACAGAAGAGAGGGCTTCCTCTGAGAGAGAAGAGGCACGGAGTGAAAAGGAAGAATGGTACTCTTGCTCTAGAAGCTGAACAGGAAGTGTGCGGAGAGTGAAAAGGAAAACCGAGCTGCTAGATGCTGAGGGGATGGGAAGGCGATCAGAACTGTGACCTCTCCAGCTAATGCCCTCTTCTGGGAGGCAGGCTGATGGCCTGGTGTAACAGCAGCTCTAAGGCAGCCCTGAAGAGCAGCATGAGCAGTGGGCAGGTGCACTCAGAGCTGATACCCCCTGGGCAACGGCTATAACTCCACTCCCTCCTACAGCCATAGCCTAGCAGCAGCCTCTCACGTGGCCTTCCTAAGAGCCGGCAAGTAGCTGTGCTTGACTGCCCGCCCGCCTATCAGGCAACAACCTCCTACAGCCAACTGAGGTGCTCCTCCTCATAGCGCTGGGGGTCGATGAAGGGCCGGTCGATAGAGCGAATCATCAGCTCCCCACAGTACACACACTCAGCCGCCACCAGTTCATCTAGGTCAGCCTTGAGTTGTTCCCGGCTTGGCCCCACAGCAGCAGCCCCACCCTCGGCCTCCTTTGCCCGGGCAGAGCCCTTGGTGGGGGGTGGAGCAGCCCCCAGCTTTCGCTGCAACTCCTCCAGCCGGGCCTGCTTGTAGGCCGGCAGGCCAGGCCGTACAGCCTGCAGCAGGCAGTCCGCATGGAACATGTGGCCGCAGAGGAAGAGGTAAAAAGGGCGGTTGAGCAGGGGGAAGTCGCAGGTGGCACACTTGTCCTGGGGTTCCACAGTGCCGTAGCGGCCCCGCAGCTCCTGCAGATCTCGCCGGATGCGCTGGGCGCTGGCTGTGGCCTCTTCCATCTCCCGCTGTAGCTCCTGGATGTGGTGGTTGTAGGCCTTCAGTGAGCTGCAGATCGCCTCCTTAAAGTGGTCAATGGTGACGAAGTCAGGAAAGAAGGGAAGCACATCCTCAATCTTGAGCAGGGGGCAGCTGGCCAGGCAGGCCATAGCGGTCTGCACGTCTTCCTCCTCCTGCACCACGTGCCGTGCGATCTTCAGCCACAGCTTCTTGCGAAGTTCCTCATCTTCCTCGGGCAAATCAGCACACTGCTTGGCCAGGTCCACATCCACCTGTGGGGTAACCACGAGTGTTAGGGTCAAGCCTCCTCCCCACCCAGGATAGAGACTGTGCGAGAGACTAGGGAGACCCTGGGCCTGAGGAGGAGCTTCTGGGAGCCAAGCTAGAAACCGATCTCAGTGGTGGGCCTGTCCCCTCACAGCTCTGTAAAAGCTGCTTATGATGGTGGGCTTCAATTTTAGCGAATTTAAAAATCACCTGGGGAACATAATCAAAATTCAGATTTTGGGGCCCTACTTTCAGACATTCAGTAAGTCCTTTAGGTAATAATTCATGATTTGAGAAATGTCCTTCTGCCATTGTGACCATAATACAATAGCTAGCATGTATACAGAACTCACCTAAGCAACAGGCACTGTTCTGAGTGCTTTTCCTATACAGTACTTTCATAAACCCTATGAGGGAAGTACTATAATACTTCTCTTCTCTGGATGAATAATCTGAGGCACAGAGAGGTTCAGAACTAGCCTGAGGTCACACAGCTTAGAAAGTGGCAGAATCAGAATTCAAATCCTAACTTCGGAGTCCCTGTTCTTAGCCTCTATACTACAGCACCTCTCCGCAAAGGAAGCCAGCACACCCTAGCCACAGCCACCTCTCCAACCCTTCACCATTGAAGTTATTGCTCTCCAGGCCCCTCTCTTAGATGGCGTCAAGACTCATGGGCTCACCTGCAAGGCCAGGTCCACAGCCTCCTCATACAGCTCCAGGACCTTGTAGACATGGACACAAGCACGGTGGTGGCCATGCTCAGCGCAGAGCCGCAGAGCATACTTGAGGTCGTAATGCACACGGTGTGGGCTGGCCCCAGCCTGCTCAAGGTAGGCCAGCAGTGAGGCTGGCTGGCCTCGGGCATACAGCGACAGCAGGTAATTGTGAATGGCCTGCTCAGTCTCGCCCAGCACGTTCACACAGAACTCCATGTAGCGGATGGCCTGGCTCACCTGCTGGGCCTCACCACCCTGGCTGTAGTTCACCAAGGCAGGGATCAGTTGCCGGGCATCCAGCCGGCTGCCCATCTCAATCCAGGCATCCACCAGCTGACGGGGGATGTGACGGATGAGGATGGGCGAGAACTTGTAGAAGAGCTGGGGGTCCCGGTGGCGGGCAAGCACTGCCAGGGCCTCCTCATAGGCCTCATGCTGGCAGTGGTATGCCACCACCCGCTCGTAGTCCTGCATGATCACAGCAAAGTACACCATGTGTTCTGTGTCCCCATGGCTGGCGAGCAGCTCGTGGATGGAGGCTCTGCTGGAGAAGAGCCACTCCTTGTGGCGGGGGCTGCTGAGGAAGGCACGGAAGCGCTCCCGTGTTTCCCAGTAGAGGTTCAGGGCCTCTGGGTCACCCTGCAGAGCCCCGAGCCGGCTCAGGTAGAGCTCTGTCAGCCAGGTCGTCAGCAGCGTGGCCTGGGTACGCTCGGCTGGCTTCAAACCGGCCAGTTTTCGCTGCAAGAACTCCACCAAAGCCTCCTCCTGTCGGGCCTCCAAGAACTTGAGGGCAATCTCCTCAAAGTAGCTCTGGGTCAGGGCATAGCAGCGGGCGCTCTCGAGGTAGCGTCGCTGATTAAAGCAGAAATCAGCCTCCCGAGCCAGGACGGTGTCCAGGCAGTCAGGCCGCTCTCGACAATACTCTTTGGCCAGGTCAAAGCGGTTCATGTCCAGGTAGGTGCGCCAGACATCCCGGGCCTCCCGCTGCACGTGGTAGCGGAAGACGGCCCGCTCGGTGTAGGCCCACAGGTGGCCTGTAGAGGAGTCCTTCACCATGTGCCTCAGTGGCCCGAACTTCTCCAGGAAGTGGTCCCGCAGCACCACCTGTCCCGTCAGCGTGCACACGGCCTCCACCCGGTCCGCCAGCAGGAGCAGGAAGTGGAACTGGGTCAGGACAATGGCCAGGGGGGGGCTGGCTCCAGGACCCACCCCTTCCGGGTATTCCCAGACTCGCTCCTCACTCAGCAGGGAGTCCGGACGCCCGTGGTCCAATGCTCCATACAACACGCCATCCCCCATCATCCAGGCGAAGGCCCGTGGTGCAGAGCGCAATTTGGGGGTATAGAAGGCCAACTCGCTATAGCCCAGACTGCTGGGGAACTCACGGAATGGGGGTGGGTGGTCAGTGTAGGCAGCAAAGAGCCCCAAGAAGCCCTGTGCCTCAGCTCCCTCTGCTGTTCGGCCTATGAACTGGAAGAGGCGCTGCCGCGTGGTGGCGATAACAAAGGGGCGCCCATCAGGGCCCCGCTCGGCCTCCAGGGAGCACACAGGTGCGGGTCCCCCTTCTTCATTTAGAACGTATAATGGACGGAAGTAGAGATCTGGGGCAGGGCCGAAAAGCCCACCCTCGCTGGCTGAGAGCTCTGCTTCGAAGATCTGGCCTTGGGCAGTGCCAACCAGGATGGGGCCTGTGCTGCTCTCGGTGCCCAGTGCCTTGTTCCAGCCCACACTCTCCACCAGCTGCCCCTTCCAGCGTGCCAGTGGCCGTACCTTCTGTCCATTACGGTTCACATAAAGGACCTCAGTGCTGCTCAGAGCAATTAGCAGGTGAAAGCCTGGAACAGGGGAGAGCATGGCATCCTGGAGTTGCCGCTATTCCCACCCTCCGCCTCCTCATTGCCCCCACCACCCTCAGATCCCATCCGCCCAGGCAGTGACTTACCTCAGCCCCACCCCCACCCTCCATCTCCGACCTCCATCACCACTTACCAGTATGGTCCAGGAACATCTTGTGAACTTTGGCATCATCCTTGCGCCCCAGCTCCACGTGGTTGGGTTCATTTGCCTTGCCCAAGTCAATGCTGTCAGGACAAGAGGAGGGCAGATCCTTTTCTCGAATCACAGACCTCTTTATAATTTGATGAAAGCCACAGCCTTTCTTCCCTGAAATCTACATATACACATAAAACTCTGAATACAATCCCAAGGGAACTCTGAAACATAGGCAGGGTCCTTAACCCTCAGCTGAGAATTCCCGAACCTCATTTTGAGAAGTCCACTAAGCAGGAATCTTTTCCCTCTACTCAACAGATCTCCAGTGCTTCCAGGAAAATGAGCAGGGGTAGCCCAGACTCCTGGGGTAAAAAATGAACAACAAATTGTAGCTAATGGTTACTGAGTACTTTCTATATATCAAGCACCATGCCAAGAGCTTAACCTAGTATGATCTCAATCTTCACAATAACCTCGAGGAGTGCTCCTGTTTGAATTATATTTCCCTTATTAGATTCTTTTCAAATTATATGCTCATTCTAACTAAAGAAATCAATGTAAAGATGTATAAAGAAAAAGCTAATGATTTTCTTCTCAAACCTGTCATTCCCAACAGAGAAAACTGATGTTAACATCTTTCTCCATATTTATAATATAGTGTTGTTTTGTCAATTTTTACAAAAATGACTTCATAGTGTGTGTGTGCACATTACTTTATTATAATTTGCTTTTCTCACTTAGATATTTCATGAGCATTCACTGAATCAACGGATACAGCTCTAACTCGTTTTAATAACTGCATAATATTCCTTTTATGGCTCAACCATAATTTAATCATCATTTTCCTGTTGGTAACCATTCAGCTCATGTCCAGTTTTGCCTACCAGAGATAATGCTGCCATCATCCTGGCCAGGTGTGCTCCAGTGGTTAGAGCACCAGTCTGGCACTGGAGGGTCTCAGGTTCGATTACCGGTCAAGGGCATGTACCTCGTACCTCATCTGTGGGTTTGTTCCCCGCCCATGGTCAGGGTGCGTGCAGGAGGCAACTAGTTGATGTGTCTCTCTCACATCAATGTTTCAGTCTCTCTCTCTTTCCCTCCTTCCCTTCTTTTTACTCTCTCTGAAAAGCAATGGAAAAAATATCTTCAGATGAGGATTAACAAAATAAATAAATAAATAAATAATGCTGCAATCAATATCCTTGAATCTATATCCTTGCAGACTGGTACTTTTTTTTCTATGGTTATGTATTCCCCAAAATGGGATTGCTGGGTCAGTTATAATTTCAGATTTTAACAGACATTGCCAATTATTTTTCCAAAAGACAGTGGCAATTTATACTCTCACCAGCAATGTATGAGGCAATTTCTGTGCATCTTCACCAGCACCACATATTACTGTTTTTAATTTTTGCCAATCTGATAGCTTTTTTTTAAATGGCATCTTAGTGTTATTTTAATGTGAATTCCCAGAAGTTAAAATTTTTTCAGATGTTTAGTGGAAATTTGGAGTTCCTCTTCTGTGAACTGCTTGCTTATATTCTTTGTTCTCCCTTTTCTACTAAATTAACTTATTAATTTGTAAGGGCTTTTTAAGAAACAAAGATGTAAATTGTTAGTCATGTGGAAAAACATTATTTTCCCACCATCTTTTGTCTTGAACTGACTCATATGCTTTTTTGTTTTTGTTTTGTCACAACAGAAATTACTACACAATCAATTATATCTTTTGCTTTTGGCATCTGGATTTTCTAGCTTAAGTAAGAAAGACCTTCCTTCAGCCCAAGAACGTAGAAATTTGTTAAATATTCTTTTTAAAAAAAATCTTCACCTGCCTGATTGATGTGGCTCAGTGACCCTCTCTCATCATTGATGTATCTATCTCTTTCTCCCTCTCCCTTCCTCTCTGAAATCAATAAAAATGTTAAAAAATAAATCCTCATCTGAGAATATGTTTAGAGAAAGGAAGGGAGAACAGGAGAGAGAGAGAAACACTGATGTGAGAGAAACATCTATCAGTTGCCTCCAGTATGCGCCCCGATTGGAGATCAAACCCCCACGACCTGGGTATGTGCCCTAACCTGGAATCAAACTTGCCATCTTTTTGGTGCACGGGACGACAGGACAACACTCCAACCAACAAAGCCACACCAGCCAGGGTGCATTGTTTGTTTGTTTATTTATTTACTTACTTATTTATTTATTTTTTAAAATATATATTTTATTGATTTTTTTACAGAGAGGAAGGGAGAGGGATAGAGAGTTAGAAACATC